AGGCAACAAGACACCAACGATTGGTTTCTGAATTATGTTCATAAGATTTTTAAGACAAGATGTTAAAAATCTGAGAAAAAAATATGTTTCTTCTTCTTCAAAGCTGGGAACTGGATTCAAAATTTGAATGTGATGGTGTCCGCGCGAAAACTTTGCGCAGGTCCGGTCAACACAGAAAGTTCTCTCTTGGCTATTTGCACTTATAAACGTTCGCAATATTTTACAATTAAAACTATGTACATCTTTGTGCTGCCTACTTCATTTCAGAGAATGACGCTTGAAGGCAGCTTTGAATCCGTCAACTGTATTGGTTGATGATACTGATGTTGGTTAATTATTCCACTCACTGATGGTCATTGGAAAGAAAGATTGACCGTAGATATATGTACATGTTCTTTCTTTTTCGGTTTTTACCGCTGGTTCTGTTATATTTGGGGTCAGATATTGTTGACGGTCTATGTCGATTAGATGATGCTGATTCTTGAAAAAACATGCATAATTTCTGTTTTCCTACATTTTTCATGGCTTGGTTTTTCCGGTTTAATGTTTTAACCACATTTGTGACACAGCCAGGTGTTCGGTCTGTGCAGTTATTGTGCACAAATCTTGCTGCTCTTTTCTGTACCTGTGCTTATTTTGGTTTGTAGGATCCCATTCTGTACCTGCTCTATTGCCTTGATCTTATTTTGGTTTGTTGGCTCCCATACTGTACTTACTCTATTGCCTTGATCTTATTTTGGTTTGTTGGCTCCCATACTGTACCTGCTCTATTGCCTTGATCTTATTTTGGTTTGTTAGCTCCCATACTGTACCTGCTCTATTGCCTTGATCTTATTTTGGTTTGTTGGCTCCCATACTGTACCTGCTCTATTGCCTTGATCTTATTTTGGTTTGTTGGCTCCCATACTGTACCTGCTCTATTGCCTTGATCTTATTTTGGTTTGTTGGCTCCCATACTGTACCTGCTCTATTGCCTTGATCTTATTTTGGTTTGTTGGCTCCCATACTGTACTTACTCTATTGCCTTGATCTTATTTTGGTTTGTTGGCTCCCATACTGTACCTGCTCTGTTGCCTTGATCTTATTTTGGTTTGTTGGCTCCCATTCTGTACCTGCTCTATTGCCTTGATCTTATTTTGGTTTGTTGGCTCCCATACTGTACCTGCTCTATTGCCTTGATCTTATTTTGGTTTGTTGGCTCCCATACTGTACTTACTCTATTGCCTTGATCTTATTTTGGTTTGTTGGCTCCCATACTGTACCTGCTCTATTGCCTTGATCTTGTTTTGGTTTGTTGGCTCCCATACTGTACCTGCTCCATTGCCTCGATCTTGTTTTGGTTTGTTGGCTCCCATAGTGTGCTTGTTCCATTGCCTTGATCTTGTTTTGGTTTGTTGGCTCCCATACCGTACCTGCTCTATTGCCTTGATCTTATTTTGGTGTGGTGGCTCCCATACTGTACTTACTCTATTGCCTTGATCTTGTTTTGGTTTGTTGGCTCCCATACTGTACCTGCTGTATTGCCTCGATCTTATTTTGGTTTGTTGGCTCCCATACTGTACCTGCTCTATTGCCTCGATCTTATTTTGGTTTGTTGGCTCCCATATTGTACCTGCTCTATTGCCTCGATCTTATTTTGGTTTTTTGGCTCCGATACTGTACCTGCTCTATTGCCTCGATCTTATTTTGGTTTGTTGGCATCCATACTGTACCTGCTCTATTGCCTTGATCTTATTTTGGTTTGTTGGCTCCCATACTGTACCTGCTCTATTGCCTTGATCTTATTTTGGTTTGTTGGCTCCCATACTGTACCTGCTCTTTTGCCTTGATCTTATTTTGGTTTGTTGGCTCCCATATTGTACCTGCTCTATTGCCTCGATCTTATTTTGGTTTTTTGGCTCCGATACTGTACCTGCTCTATTGCCTCGATCTTATTTTGGTTTGTTGGCATCCATACTGTACCTGCTCTATTGCCTTGATCTTATTTTGGTTTGTTGGCTCCCATACTGTACCTGCTCTATTGCCTTGATCTTATTTTGGTTTGTTGGCTCCCATACTGTACCTGCTCTTTTGCCTTGATCTTATTTTGGTTTGTTGGCTCCCATACTGTATTTGTTCCATTGCCTTGAACTTATTTTGGTTTGTTGGCTCCCAAACTGTACCTGCTCTGTTGCCTTGATCTTATTTTGGTTTGTTGGCTCCCATACTGTACTTGCTCTATTGCCTTGATCTTATTTTGGTTTGTTGGCTCCCAAACTGTACCTGCTCTGTTGCCTTGATCTTATTTTGGTTTGTTGGCTCCCATACTGTACTTGCTCTATTGCCTTGATCTTATTTTGGTTTGTAGGATCCCATACTGTACCTGCTCTATTGCCTCGATCTTATTTTGGTTTGTTGGCTCCCATACTGTACTTGCTCTATTGCCTTGATCTTATTTTGGTTTGTAGGATCCCATACTGTACCTGCTCTATTGCCTCGATCTTATTTTGGTTTGTTGACTCCCATACTGTACTTACTCTATTACCTTGATCTTATTTTGGTTTGTTGACTCCCATACTGTACTTGCTCTATTACCTTGATCTTATTTTGGTTTGTTGGCTCCCATACTGTACTTGCTCTATTGCCTTGATCTTATTTTGGTTTGTAGGATCCCATACTGTGCATGCATAATCAACTGTAGGTCTTACCATGGATACATATGCAGCTGCTTTTACAGGTTTTTGTGCAGACTTTGAGATGTCTGCAGATAAATGCTAATGTTTTGATTTCCTTTGCCAACTGTATTGTTGATGTTAGGTTGTTTCTGATTGTTGCTGGCTTTCATTGTGTCTAGAGAATAGTCGTTGAGTGTGTATGTTGTTTGTATGGATTTTCTGTGACGTTCTTATAACAAGGCATTTTTATTTACGTTGAAACTCATTTGGCATTCGTTTTCCTAGTCTTCCAATGATGTTAATTCTTTCTGGAGAAGGAATGGTTCGAAAGAGTAGGCTGTCATCCGCAAATAGTTTGGTCTCTGCTGTTTCTAGGATGTCATTAATGTAGGCCAGAAACAGAAATGGTCCAATAATTTTGTTTTGGGGTACACCGGAGTACAGGTACTTGCGTCGAGATAGCTCCCTCTACTATATGGACCATCTCTTTATTCTTAATATATAACACTCTGTTTGCTGTTATGTAGGAAGGAGCAAATCCATCTGTAGGTTTGAACATTGATGCCGTTATATTCCAACTTGTGTAGTGGGCGTTTATAAGGCACCTTGTCAAATGCTTTTGAAAAATCTAAAAGGATGATATCTACTCGACAGTTTCTTTCAAATTTGATGCGATGTTGTAAATGGTTATGGTAAGTTAGGATTCGCAAGATCGTCTTTTGCGGAATCCATGTGGTGCATTAGTAAGAATTTTATTCATTATTCTTGCTTGAGTAAAAAGTGTTGTTCTTTGTGCTTTTTAAATTTAAATTAAAAATGTTTGTATTGTTTATACCGGTAACAGTCTGTCTATCCTTTGTCATGAAAAACATTTCAATTTCAAAATGTCACATTTGGTTAAGTGTCAGGGTTAGAAAGTTTTACTTTACCAATGGTCTAGAATTTGGTGATGTCTTATGGTTAAAAAAGAGTCTGATGTTCAGTAGTTGTTGTTTGTTGATGTGGTTCATAAGTGTTTTTAGTTTCTCGTTTTTTATATAGATTAGACCGTTGGTTTTCCCGTTTGAATTGTTTTACACTAGTAATTTTTTGGGGCCCTTTATAGCTTGCTGTTCGGTGTGAACCAAGACTCCGTGTTGAAGACCGTACTTTGACCTATAATGGTTTACTTTTATAAATTTTGACTTAGATGGAGGGTTGTCTCATTGGCACTCATACCACATCTTCTTATATCTATCAATTACCACTCCACTATTGTGTGATGTCTAATCACTTGATATAATTATCGACGTATTCTATAGCAGTAACACGGCGTGTGTCACATATGGAGCAGGATCTGCTTACCCTTCTGGTGCACCTGTGATCACCCCTAGTTTTTGGTGGGGTTCGTGTTGCTCAGTCTTTAGATTTCTATGTTGTGTTTTGTGTACTGTTGTTTGTTGGTCTTTTTCTTTTTTAGCCATGGTGTTGTCAGTTTATTCTCGACTTACGAGTTTGAATGTCCCTTTGGTATCTTCCACCTCTCTTTTATTTCATTATGTTGCTATGTACAATATGTTCTAAGGACTTGTATGTGATGGAGGTACGAGATACTGGTCTGTAGTTAGATGATAAGTGCCTTTCATCTTTTTTGAAAAGTGACCCTACATTTGCATCTCTGATCTTGTGGGACTTGGCCAGTGTTCAGTTATGTTTGATACAGGTGTGTAAGGATGGGAGCAAGTTTGTCTGCTGCTGCTTTGAGTATAAAAGATGGTATAGAATTAGGACCAGTGGCTTTATGAGGTTTAAATTTGTTCAACAGCATGTGATACCTGTTAGATCTGATTGTAATATCCTTCATGGTGGAATATGGACTTCTCTCTTTATTCTTAATATATTTCAGTCATTATCCAAGCAACAAATAAAGAATTTGATAAGTTAATGACCTTCTATCAATTAATGTTTGGCATATAAGATATAGACCATTTTAAGATCATGGTGTGAACACACTAAATTAGGCTGTTGCCTTTTATAGCTTACTAAAAGGTATGGGATTCTGCTTATGGTAGGCCACATGGTGAATTATAATGGTTACCATTCTCATTATTTGGTCTCTGGTGAATAGTTGTCTCATTGGCAATCATATCAGATCTCCCCATTTTTACAATTAAGCAGACCTGCAGTATATTATTTCTGAAAATTCTTTTTCAAAATTTTGATATACAAAATAGGCAGACAATAGCAATCTAGTCCATGTCAGTGATGGACAAATTGTGTTGTTTCGGATGCACATAACTGGATGGACCTTCACCAAGACTGTTCACAGTCAAAAGCCAAGACATTAAAGGATAAACACAGGATGAATAGAATAAAAGGAGATATTTTATGTACAAATTATATTTTTCTCTTTTATGTCACATGATTTACAATGATGATTTCAATGATAACAACATGAAACAGACATGTACAACAAAACATGACCATGTAAGGTCGATTTCACATGACATGAGACCACATTCGGTCAATTTCACAAGACATGTGACCATGTCTATTTCACACAACATGTGACCAAGTTTATTGGTCTTTTTCACACCCTGACAACAACATGACTGTTTCATACATATGACCTTGCAAAGGTCAAAATCAACACATACATTTGACACAAAATTCACATACATTGGTCTGTTAATCAAATGCAATTTATCTGAATGCTACTTGTGAGCACTGGTTTTACATGCAATTTTGGTACTAAATAATTCTTATAAAATAGAGAGTGTTTGCTTGACAAGACATAACTGTTATTATTTTGTAAGCTGGAGTTGGAAATATTTCAAAAGCAATTTATGACTATATGCGTGTTAAGTACACTATTGCAAACTTCACAATACATAAAATAATTGTTTCATCCTGAAATATGAATAAAAAACACAAAACAAATCTTATTCTGGAAACAAAATGTTGGTTTCATTTTTTATCATATAAAAATAAGAAATAAGACCTCTTCTGTTACATGAATTTTTATACAACAAATTTCTTTTTTTTGTACAATTTAAATATCTTATGTACAATAATAAATAAGACATTATCAAACTTATATATATACAAGTCTTGAAATTATCCTATTCTTTCTCAAATAAAAACAAATCTGTTATCATATATATCTGTATAAAAGATGAAAACTAATAATAGACATAAGACAATATAAAACCAATGATATTAAAAAGATAACTTCCTTATTTGGATACACGTTACTTTAAGTCAGCAAGAGAGTATATGGTTTATGCATTGGGGAGTTATGAACTTATAAATAGAACAACCTTAGTGCAAATTGGTCAAGTGTCATGCTAAGTTGTTATTATATGTAACTAATATAATACTTATCTTAGCAGTAAAATGCTTTAATTCTTATAATATAATGGTGTGATAGAGTAGATATCTTACTCGGATCAATGGTGTAGATTACTCTGGCTTTTAATTATTCATGTCAAAAGTTGTCAATAATTAATGCCTGACCTAACAGGTGGTATTCAAGGAATGACCAGTACCAATAAATCAAATAGGATAATTTCAAGACTGTACTATGATAAAACAACACTCAACTAGATTATACAGGGTGTATAAAAATGTTGCTTCATTTAAAATCACATCAGCACTATAACTTAACAGTCACACAAATAAATATGACAAATTCTATAAACACCTGGTTATAATTACTCAATAATATTCATGTAGTTCATCCATACACAGTTCTTAAATCATTTCCTTTAATCATTTATATACTATTTTTATGTAGGGTTATCTTTACACAAAATATCTTCATAAACAATAATTACATTTAAATGCCTGATTAATTAAATTACCAGGATATAGTGTAGCGATGACCATTGATTTTAATAGAAAAGCAACAGGTAGTTAATTTTTTACTGGAAACTTTTTTACTATCGGTATGTGAAAATAAAATAAAAAAAATAATTATACCTTACTGGACAAATAAACATTTAGCTATGACTCTGAGGTAATCAGTATCCTGAATAACATGTTAACTGCATGAAATGCATTTGTAATCTATGTGTTTTATCTTCTGTATTTATACTTTGAGAAATCCATTAATAGTAATGATTCCGATTAAAACCACTTCATAAATACTCCTTAGCAATCACTACTGATTTAGAGCCAATGAACTAAAATAACCAAAAATAAAACTGCATTTGAATAAACTTGAGAATGCTTTAACAGCAAATTAAATTCACCGCATAAAGCCATTAATAGAATGAAATTGCTATAAAATAGAACAGTTACATAATATTTGTGGATGATTATGTTCCGTCTAAACAGATTATGGTTTGTTTGTAGAATCTAGCAGATCGTTTTATAACATTCATCTACAGAAATCAATGCCAATTGTCTTTTTTTGGGTTGATTCAGCTTTCATTTTTTAGGAATGTTAGCTCTAAGATTCTACTTGATACACAAATTAGTATCACCTAACTCAGTGATGCTACACAATAATATAAAACTTTAAAAGTAGGAAAATCTACTACACTATGAAGTGAAACTAAATTCTTTCAATTCTAGATTTTCAATAACAAATCAGTTCACAGAATTTTATGTAAATGGAAATTTAGGAATATTTTTATATTTTTCAGACTTTTTGAAATAGTAATATTAAAGAAAATAGCCCAAGTATTTTTTAATACAAAAATGTTTGCTATACATGTTTTAATGTTTTTAACCAGGGTGCTATACTACACTGCTACAACAAAACATCATTATTACAAGCATGACATTAAATTGGAAGCATTTATTTTACAATGATGACCTTTAACCCTCTGATGCTATATTTACATATGATGCAATATCAGATGGAACAGGTAAAAATGACATTTTTGGTGTATTTCATTTTAGAGACAGTCATAAAATGGCAATGTTATACAATAATACTTTCCATTACAAATTGTTAAAAAAACATGTCTTTTTTCAACAAAAGGAACATTTTTATGCAACAAATCATAGAAAATTCTTATAACAGAGATATAAATCTTTACATATAACTTGTAAAAAGATCACTACATATCAACAAAGACATTCACATTCTGTAATGTATGCCACAAACAAGGGTTAGAACAGTCATAGAATTTACTACATGGAGAATTAAAATAAATGATTTTTTTTTACCAATAGCCCATTTCCTAGGTAACCTCATTATTGTAAATTTGCTAGACCTACAGGATTTATACATGTATTACCAAACAAACAAAGAAAAAATCACACTGAAACAATCACTTAAAAGAAAAAATTATTGTATAGCCCAGAAACATTTTCTTTACCATAAATTAAATTTTTCATGACTTTATCCCTGTCTATGACATAGATCACAAGCTGTGAGGCTAAGTAACAGTTTTTACATCACCCAAATAATAAAGATTCCATGTTCAACAGTATCAACTTAATCTGATAAAGTGGGAGGTATTTTTGTGTACAAGAACAATAAAGATTAAATAGTCATTTTTGTTTTCCTTCAATGTTTTCATCTTTAAGGATCAAACTTAATAAAGTTAATTTTAGAATTCTACAGTTTAAAGTATACAAAGGTATAGTAATGTAAAAATTCAAAGTCAAGGAAACTGAAAGTTCACACATATACTTTTTGCACATGGAATCTTCGATCGTCCACACTCTACACATATTCCTCACATTTACATCACAGTTGTGTACTGAGCAGAGAAATGATGTACACATGATTAGAAATGAGAATACTTCTTCTTACAAAAACACACAACAGTAAACTAATTGCAGCATGTAACCTAAATTCATTAATGATTTAACTTGTTCTTATAATAATTGCTTTCTTAGCATTTTATTTCTATTTCACTTTTTGATATATTTATATAAAAATGAAAAATGTTTCGTTGCATCCTTGCAACAATTTAAAATCAACAAAAATTCCATTATTGTATCCTATTTTCCTTCTGCATAGATATAATATTTCCATAAATATTGCAGAGGCTTAAAAATTATAATAAATTTAGACATTATTATTTTAAAGGAAAAAAAATGGACAAATAACTACATTTAACTTTGGTATATACCCAGAAATCTGCACCTTTTTTGTGAAGAAACATTTCTGTACAAGACCATAATGCTTTTTCTAAAACAATTAAATCTGACATGATTGAGTAAAGCAACATTCTGTCAAAAATTATCAAGGTATTACAAAATACTTTTATCAATTGCACTGTAAAATATTTTTGTGTCAGAGAACCCATGGTAAAATGCATAAAATGAAATAAAACCAGCATAAAAACAAGTACTCTCATGTAAAATGATGATGATTTGTGTGCACCATAGAGTTGTCCCCCCTATCCCTGATACTATGTACATATATATATTTACACATCATTTATGTTTTTTTTTAATTCTATTCCCATTTTCCGCCGCATGCTCTGTCGTACATTTCATGTACGGTTTCTGATCAAATCTGAAAAAGAAGAAATAAGAATATGTAACTAAATCTATATCTCACATAATACAAACATTCCTTTTGGGGCAAAATAAATCCAGGTATTCATTTATTGTATTTATTTTGCAGAACATTTTGTTCCTACTGAAGGAAATATAATTTGTCAACTTTAGTTTTCATTTGAAAGTCGAAGAAATGAACTTTTGTACAAAGGACTTGGGTTAATCTGACAAATTTTTGTCTTAATTGACAGGGTTTTCTTCTCCTTTTAACGAATCCAAACAATTTATGGTGGTCAAATTCATAAGAGGTGAAACAAGAGAGACTTTGTGTAACTATAAACATCAGCAAGTCAATAACTTTCTTGGTGGTTTCACATGGAATAAACCAGAGGAACTATATCAAACTCCTTATATCTGCAAGTATATGACTACCTCAGTTGTCCCACATGGAGGACAAAGAGGGACTATGTCAAATTACTATAATCAGCTTCCTCAGTGGATAGAGGAAAACCAAGAGCCCTGTGGTAACCCCTAACATAAGTAGTAAATACCTAACATCCCCTTTATTCATAAGAACTGATGTGTAGAGATTAGCCCAGTACATATAGAAAACTTGATAAAGAGACACCTCACACAATTTCATTGACCACTTAGGCTATATCCTTAAAGTAATTTAAACTTTAAATACTTTACACATTTTTCTTTGAGTTTCTACAGTAAGACTCCTAAATTGATGTTTTATTAAACAAACAAGCAATTTTAAATGCGTGTGTCTTTAAGGTTATAATGATGAAATCTACTGACTACATATTTTTTTTAAAGTCAGACATGTTTTAAGAACTGTGAATTGTAATTATATAAATACAATGTAATTTCCTATGTTTCTAAAATGTAACATATTTTCACTAGGTAATTCTTTTTAATCTTCAAATAAAAATGCTGTTTTATGCAATTGGCAGCCATGTTGGATATTCAATCAAACCAAAATTATAAATTCTGTCAAGGACCTTCCCAGAAACATTGCTGCCTAATTTGGTTCTATGGTTCAGTGGTTTCAGAGGAGAAGATGTAAGAAGTTAACAGACAGACAGCACACAGTGATGGCAAAAGCTCATCCAGGATTTTATCTACATGAACTAAAAATGACTTACTGTCAATAGTGATTGGAGCCTAGTTCTGGACTTGCATCATTCTGAAATAAAAACAAATCCTTCATAAACACTAAACTTGAATTTTAAGTCAGTCTAATTGTTAAAACTATAAATTCAATTAAGGTCAAGCTTGTTATGTTAAACTCAAGTCACCAAACAATTGACATGTATTAATGACAAATTGAGTCAAGTTGAGTCAAAGAGAGTTAAAATTCTGTAAATAAAGGATGTATTGAAAACATATGCAAGTGCCCTTGAAAAGGACCTTGCATGTCTTATTATTGCATGAATTATGACCTCAGAAAAACTTGTACAAACCATGTGTAGAGAAGTCTGAGACCAAAAGTGTTCTACATTTCAACTTGTGAATCATACTACTTAAAATTTCATCTCCTTATAATACAAAAGTGTGGAGTGTTTGAGTTGCCATGTTAATGTGCGTGTTCCATGTCAATAACCTTATCATTGTTGGTATTTGTATATCTTAGTTGTCTAATCTTTAATGAAATTTTTTATTTTAATTTTTTGACTACTTTCACTGAATCCTATTAACTAGGTAAATAAGCCTTCTATGGTGTCAACATAACAATTGTCAACAGTTTACAGACAGATTACTTGACAAATAACGGAAACATATCTACAGAAATATGACATGAACAAATAACTCTGAAAATAATTCAATAATTAAAGGTATTGGCATTACAAAGAATGAGATGAAAAGCTTGATCCGTATCAGACATGCTTAAAGTAGAATTACTATGCTTGAGACTCGCAAGAGGAAACAAAACATTAAATTTTAAAACTTTGTCTGAGAAAGATGCTTAATGAAGCAAAAGATTTGTTGAAATTATTTCATTTTACATTTCAAAGTTATTACATAATCTAGTTCTGCATTACTGAAATTCTTAAAAAGTAATTAGTAGACTTAAGATCCCAGACAGTTTTGTTTTCTTCTAAAAACAGACTTTCATGTAAAAGTGGAAATTAACTTGGAATTGTAAAAATTTATAGCCCTGACTTTTCTCCTGAGGAATAAAGATTAATCCAAAATGCATTAACAATGTATGTACATGATCCTTATTCCCATTAAAGGCATTATCATATACAAGGATTTATATGTAACTGTGCTAGTCCATTATCTCTACACAAACAAATTGTCTGAAGAAAAAAGGATCTTTAGTGCACAAAGGAACCTTAAGATGTTAACCACTTTACATATTTTTAAAATTTTGTTGTTTTTTATTATTTGAGATTTTTCTTCACAGTAACGAAAATTCAATTCCTTCAACAATAAAAACCCAGCTGGTAGTATTTGGATGAGAATGCACAGTAAATAATTAATTTGCAAATTCTTATGCACTTGCTTGTCAATCTATTTATTCTAGACATAAAAAAATAATATTCCTTCTTTTTTCTATTATCAAGTAGAGGAAAGTTAAGAAAATAAAATAGTGCAAAGTCTGAAATATGAGAGGCCAGTTCAAACGCCTTCAATACATTTTTTTTATTATTATTATAATCTATCAACTGAAAAAGAAGTTCTACTGGAAAATGAAACAAATTTCTTCTGCCTTATATAACTTAGTGACATTCATAAAATGGTGTCAAACAGATTTTAGGTTTTGAAATAACCAAAGTAACCTGTAGTGCCTTTTATCAAATTTGCTATCATGCTCCTTTTAACTATTTATATTAGCCAGATTTGTTTCATAATGGTGTGAAATTTCTAATGTTTGGTTGAAGAACTAAGGAAACTTATTTTTTAATGTTATTGCATCCCTTTTCTCAATAACATAGACACACATTTTCTTCAGTTGACAAATTACAATAAACATAAATAAATTTTTTAATTAAAAACATATAAAGTTTCTATTTCTACTGATTTATCCATTTAAATATTAATTGCTCATTCATTTGAATGAATTAGAAAAAAAATATATTGTTTCACTTAAATAGTAAACAAAGTAAAAGAAGACTAAAATAGGAAAAGTTGGCCAAAAAGTCCAACTCACCCCACCGATAGATAGCCGATTGGTCAATCATGGGCTGGACTTGATATAACTTAATGCCATCACACTGCCGACACCTGCCCAAGATTATACATACATGTTACAATTGTGAAATCAGCTTCTATCTACTGTGTACAAAATGGTATCAGTTTGAATGTCACACTCCAAGATCAAATACAAACCAGTATCATTGTCTAAAGCTCTGGCTATGATGGACATTTCTTATTCAACAAGAAAATTTATTTTTAACAGTAACATTGATCATCTTCATGTTACTGATCTATATACAAGATGACCACTGTAAAAAGTCTGTTTGGCAATCAGACAATTGTGCTGGTCATTGAGTGGACAGAAACTGACACCATTTAGTTTTAGTCACCAATTAAAGTTAAAGAAACATGCATGCATCTCTTTACAAACAGTGTCATAAATAAAACTTTTGACATGTTACATGAAATGAAACATCAAGAAATTCAAACAGGAATGTATACAAAAAATTTGAGAAGGGTTCCCCAGAATCATGTTTCTTGCCTGCTCTCAGTGTAAATGTTGACTGCCAAAATAAGTTCAGTTATCAGTAAAAAATAAAGAAAAATGAGAGAAAATTTTTTTGCTTAAGGTGCTCTTTAGATAATGCAGAAGCTTTGGTTCAAGTTTTGAAAAGTTCAATGAAGGCTGATAAAGTTATTCAAATGTTTTTTAAAATCTTTACAGCCTGTTCCTAAAACAAAACTAAGTTCAATTAAAGTAAAATACAGAAAAAGTCAAAAAAAACTTGACTCTAGATGGTATCTCTGATTTATGAAGAAACTTCTATAAAAATTTCCCGAAATTCCATACAGATTGAAAAAGGTTATTGATGTTAAGCCCTTTAAAACAAAGTCCATCATCAGTTGACAGAAAAGTTAAAAGATAATTAAATTATTCTTTAGATGCTATTTCATCAATGTAAAAAAGCTTCTGTCCCAAGATTCATAAAATTCTATGAAGGCTGAAGTTATAAATGTCTAAATAAAACCTAAATGTGGGAACACCTACAGGATGAAAGGATCACAATGTCTTGCCTTTATGATTATCAGTGTAGGTTAAGACAAAAAAAGAACCCTAAATTTAGGGGAATTGTATATAAATAATAATGTAAAGAACTTTTTGTATGGCTTCCATCAGTAGGGAGAGATTATATCAAACCTTGTTTACAGAAGTCAAACAAAAACAAACTGCAAACAACGTTTCTATAAACAAGGTCGATATAGTTTAATATGGAAAATATGATTTCTGAATATGATTCTTAGTGAATATACAAAGTTTCTACACAAGGTGTTAAATATATAAAGTTTTAACCATGAAACTTCTCTATTCAGAACAGTTTTATAAGTTCAGCTTCAAAGGCTATTGAATAAATAAGTAACCATCTATATAAGCTTCAATATAGGAATAAAAGTAATATGTTTCTTTCTATAAATTTTGCAAAATAAAATGATGTGCCTTGAAAGGGGAAGGGGCAAAAGTTACTGAAATGAGAAGTTTCACTGTTACAAAGAGACCATCAGATTGTGACCGAATGTCAATATATATTTGTTATAATTAGAGATAAGTTTGGTAATACAAGATTCCCACATACCATATAACACAGTATTCAAACTACACTTGTTAAAACATATAACTCTTACAAGAACACAAAGTAACACATAATGCAGAACACACAAGGATTACTTCCCCTTTTTTGGCATGTATCTTTGCCTTGTTTCAAAACTAGCAAACATGAATTATACATTTCGATATATCATGCTGTTAATATGAAAAATGATTTCATAAAAACTACCAAAAGAAAACTTGATAATATTCAAATTTAAAATAACTAATCTAAATTCATAATTTATTTATGTAGCGTTCAGATTTAGCACATGTGTTCAGCATCTTGTGTTAGCTTTTGCATATGCAAATAACATAGAATCAGTTTATCAAAGCTGTTACACAAATTTTCAAACACAAGGTCAATGATCTGCACATATTTGAAGAAAAAAAGAGATGAATTGTAAGAAATTCCTTAAATTCGTGTTACCAGCGTGTTTTGTGAATTATGTAAAAAATTGTGGAAAATTTTACCCATTTTTATAGCAAAATATGGAACAAGCCGACCTTGTCCTTCAACATATTAAATTGGTAACAGCAGTAAACTGGTTCTAATCAAACCCTTATTGAGCTCTGCAGAAAATTGGCATAGTAATATATTAATAATCTTGTATAGCACTCAGCACTAATACATACAAAGTATTCATCGTGTCGATCGTAACTACTTTTATCACTTTTATCGTAGAAGTCATCTGTGATGAAATATGACAATGGTAATTCAAGTTACCCAAAACAAATACAACTTATGATTAGTTGAAATGGAAATTGATGAAATGAAACTATATTATATCACTGAATCACCCCCCAAAAAAAATATCAATAAAAAAAAATTATTTTACCATAACTACTAATTAATTTAAAAAAAAAAATAATTTAAGACATTGATAATCTTGATTAGAGTAAAAATAAATAAAATATTTTTATTAAAAGAATATTAATCAATTATATGAAGTGCTACAAAGTTTTGAGAGAGAATTGGGTCAATAAGTTCAACACAGCTCAATAAAGCATGTTGTTAGCTAAGCTGTACAAACGTACCCTGTGGCATTTGGTATCCCATCATACCTTGTTGTTGACCGTTGAACTGTTGACCTGGAGGCATTTGCATCTGTCCCCATTGCTGCATTGGCATATTCATGCCGCTTTTAATGAAATAATAAATAAATATTACCATAGTGATTGAAGTAAAAATGAGGTTCAAGTAAAGCTATTATATTTCAGCCAATATATAATATTGAAATAAAAGAGTTTGCTGTAAAATTGTTATGAGGACCTTTATTCGAAAAGTCATATATTAGGAACATAATAAGTTACATTTTTATTTAAATGGCTGCAGCAAGCTATCAGGAATTAGTTCAGGACAGGTTGCCTGATTGTTGACAGTCTATTTACCTGTAAGGATAGCTACCATAACCAGCAGGGTAGCCTGACTGCATGTTGTATCCCTGCCCCATATTTTGGTATGCACCTGGGTACCAATAACCCATATTGGCATAATACTGGCCATAGGAACCAGGTGAACCGGAATATTGCTGTTGTGAAGGCGGTTGTTGTGATGGTTGACTAACCTACAAAACATTTTTAAAAAACATCATCAGAAGGACTTAATAACCAATTCATGATGTAGTTCAGTAAAAATATTACAAGCAAATCAAGCAAATATCCATGTAACATTCTAAATGATGAACACTGATTCTCATGTCTTATGTAAGTATAATAAAAAAAATCTAAATATACCATGGAAATTATTAGTTATTGTACCTGTACAATTAGATCAGTCAATGAATTATCTAATGAAAACCAAATTAAACTCTTTCATCAAGCGTCAAAAACTAGACATTATTTTTAGTTTCAGGCAAAAGTCAGTTGAAAGGAAGTTTTTTTTCCAAATAAATTGAAGATATCAGAATCGTTTCTCTATTCTAAAAAGTCATATGAATCCCTAACTGCAATACGTTCAATAATTATTTTAAGTGCCTTCAAAGGCTCTTCTATCCACATACAACTCTTTCGGATATTTTCAGATGTCTAAATTATGAACTTGAGATAAGTAGAATCAACTTCTGTGCTAGTAGTAAGATTTGTTGTGTACATACCATCTGATGTGGTGTACCATTTCCACTGCCTCCTCCAGCTGATGAGTTGGTCTGACTAGGTTCGTTTGATTCCTTCCCCCAGGAACACTTGACTTGTTGTTCTGCCACCATTGTACCGTTCACTTGACATATTGCTTGTGCTGCTGCCTGTTTTTCTGAAAATCTAGTGAGAAAAAAAAAATAAATGCATGAAAACTTTCTTCGATGAAGTGTGTATTTTTTTTAAAGGTTAAATTTAGAATGTTTTTTTAATTTTCTATTATTTAGAATGTTTTAAGACAATGATTCTGCATAAATCAGTATACAATCCTTGTATCCATGATATGGTCTGTTATACATATACTGGCTTCTTTATATGCCTTATATTATCTATCTTATGTTATAAAACTTTATAACCAAGAGTACATAAAGAAATGCCTTATGTAAACCCTTAAAGCTGAATGTACAGTATGGGTTTTGCTCCTTGTTGAAGGCCACACCATTACCTGTAATTACTTGAATCCACCTCATTTCAATATTGTCTCGTTTGAAATCATATCACATCTCCTTATTGTATATCTTCATGATTTATTTTTCAAAATGCAATATTGTGTCAGTTAAAGGACATGATATTATTTATTTCTTTATTGGAACAAGGTGTTTAATGTACAAAAGTGATTAAATAAGGACAAGAAATTTTGTTGCTTTGAGTAACTTAGTTTTTTCCATTAGTTTTCTTACCTTATAAATGAATAACCTTTATCTTTAAATACTCTAATTTCTTGTATCTGACCAAACTGGGTAAATGTCTGTCGCATTAATTCCTCTGAAATGACACAAAAATCTGTAATATTGCAACCGAATGAAAATAAATTAATGTATTAAGCAAATATGCATTAACACAGCATAAAACATATCAGAATTATGTATAAAATCATTCATATTTGTCAAATCATCAGCTGTTTTTTATAATTTATTAAACAGATTACCTGCTGTAATACAATATGTAAACTGAGATTTTGCATTTATAAACTTTATTGACAGACAAAACAACAAGATTCAAAATCACAAAATCAACTGTCATGTCCATTGGCCATAATAAACAACTAGTACTCTATGATTACAAAGGTTGCTTTGTCCCCAAATTACCTTGATAAACTATAATAACTTTAAGAACAGGCTGGTTTGCAGAGTCAAAATACTGTTTTCAAGTTGTTTGGTATGTCTCCTGCAGACTTAGTGTGTGGGTGTCTGTCTTGTACTTAGAAGGGGTATTTTCACATCTCATAATACTATTGTCATTGATATGCATGTAATATTTGCCACTGGACTTAAAGCAGTCATTAATCAATCAAGTAGAAAACTTGTCATTTTCTCCTGTGAGTATAACTAGCTGCTATCTGATACATACATTGTGACTTGGATGGACAGTTGGTCTCATTGGCACTCATACCACATCTTCTTATATCTGTTCAGTTTTGTGTTAATCCACCACAATATACTGTACATGTCTGATATATACCTTGTAAGTTTTGTGTTAATCCACCACAATATACTGTACATATCTGATATATACCTTGCAAGTTTTGTGTTAATCCACCACAATATACTGTACATGTCTGATACATACCTGTCAAGTTTTGTGTTAATCCACCACAATATACTGTACATATCTGATATATACCTTGTAAGTTTTGTGTTAATCCACCACAATACACTGTACATGTCTGATACATACCTGTTAAATGTTGTGTTAATCCACCACAATATACTGTACATGTCTGATACATACCTGTTAAGTTTTGTGTTAATCCACCACGATATACTGTATATGTCTGATACATACCTGTAAAATGTTGTGTTAATCCACCACAATATACTGTACATGTCTGATACATACCTGTTAAGTTTTGTGTTAATCCACCACGATATACTGTATATGTCTGATACATACCTGTTAAATTTTGTGTTAATCCACCACAATATACTGTACAGTTAGTAGAACTAGATTGACTATAAACTTCATCATACGATAATTGTTTTACTGAAATGAAGAGAAAAAAGCAAATCAAAACATGCACCAAAGGTCACATATGTGTAAAACAGAAAATAATGTTATCAACCAAAGGGTCATTCTTCCATTTTTCTTATGTTACAAGCTTTTCTAAAACCCCCTCTTTATTATAGAATTGAAAATGGAAACAGGGAATGTGTCAAAGAGACAACAACCTGGCCAAAGAGCAAAAAACAGCCCAAGGCCAGAATATACATATATGTATTTTTCAATCAATATTTGTAGCATATCAACACCATTGAACTTACTGTTAACATGTTATTTATTTATCAGACATCTATAACATTACTCATAATGACTTAATAAACAAAGGGTTGTATATTGTGTTTCCATGGCAATGCAAATTAACTTATTGTTTCAATATACCAATTTTTTAACTATAATGTCATGGGACCTTCTGTTTCATCTGCTATAAAACTTTCTGAATTAAAATTTTTCTATACCTACATCAATATTTCAGTATCCTATTTTATTTGACAAAAGAAGTAATTTAGATTCTGTAGAGGGCATCTAAAAGCCTATCAATTTTCTATCAAACTTGTACTGAATTACCTTGAACCAAGGTGAACCTTTGTGTCATTTTTACAGATACAAACATGCAATAGATCTAATGCAGTTCATTCATTTGGTCTAAGTGATTTTTTTCTATGTATAACAAAAATGAAAACCTTCCACAGTTTTGAAATGTTTTATTGGGTCTAGTTTGAAAATCATTCCTCCCAATGTATTTCTACATCTTTGGTTTTTCTGTGCTAATCTTGAATAAAGCTTCAATTGAAGAAGACTGTTTTATTTTATTTACTACTTGTTACAATGCAGGCGTTGATACAGGATTTGAGTTTAGTGGGGACACAGCATGTTAGGAATTAGCCCAGAAGAACAAGGCTAAAAGTATTTTGACAAGATTTATGCAAATATATTTTTTCTGAATTTAGAAAGGTGCATGCCTGGTGCATTTTGATTAATTTTATAATATTTGAAAAAAAAAACAAAGTTCAAACTCCTCAAAGAAAGTTGACCTTGCACAGTTCAATCTATTGTTATTTGTTATAGGTTTTAAATCTTTTTGTCTCTCAGCTTCATGCTGAAGGTTAACGTTGGAAGTCAACACATAAAGTTATCAATATTGCTTCAAATGCAACAACACTGATATCTTTCAAGGAACAATGTCTCTCATTCTTTACATAATTCAAATTACCTTCTTTAGGTACCGGAGCAGGAGGTTTCCGCGTTGCCCAGTTGGTTCTGATTGGTCGGCTACCTAACCATTGACCATTCATACTCTGTATAGCATTTTCAGCATCCTAAGATTATAAAGTATGTAGCATATAGAAATCATCCTTTTGTGCTCTCTAATTAAATAATTCTTCTACATAAGAAAAAAAGTTTCAAGGATACATGACCTGATCAGAGTATTTGTTCCATTTTCATTTGATTACATAAACTCATGCTTAGAAATAAATGACCAACATCAGTTTGAGTATTTATTATAAGCCTTATGGGCTCACAGGACGTACCAGCAATTATAAGGGAAATTTCCTAGTCTCAAACTAGTTTAAAACCCTGCTAGCAATGTTGTTATTGTCTCATTAAAAACTATCTTGATGTTTGTATCTGACTGTTTATTCTGCTTAATCAGTTACACAGAAAATAAAGCTTCAAATGAATAGTTTTAAATCTTGTCTCCCTATCTTATTTATCAATTTTGTTTTAGAACAATAAAAGTAAAAACATTTGTATTTTTGAATTTCTTGGTTATTTGCTAGGTAACAGCTGATTCTATAAAACTCTACTGCAAAAAAGTAAAATAGAAAAAAAAAAAGAAAAAAGTTTGAAGAGACAAACTGTGAAAAAAAAATTAAATAAACCTGGTAGTAGGCAAATAAAATTAATGTATGTTTTTTTTCATTAAACTTGTGAAAATTCTTTTGAACCCTGTGAACTGGAAACATGTTGTGGACCATCTGAACTCATGTTGTTATTTTTTTGTTGAAAAAAATCAACATTTTCATAATAACAATTTTCTGTTAATTAAATTTATAAAGGTAAAAATCTAATCAATTATTGGAATTTCCACATGACAACTACAAGTCAAATACAAAGTATTGCTGGTTTCATAAAACACAAAGGCTTATCAAACCTTGGCATTTCCTACCAACAAGAATTCTGAATTTCTATGGAAAAGATACTTCATATAGCACGACATTTCTAAACGATTCATCCTTGTTTATAGTGGTAACCAATCCATATGTTAATATCCTGTTCCTGTAAAGAGCGTTGAGAGGTGGATTATTTTTTCTTAATTACACGAAGCATGCTCAGGAAGATTACAAGCACATTCCATTTACAAGTCCGTCCCTTCCATATATCTGTGACGGATATCAATTTCCTGGGTTTTACACGGTAATCAAAGATTAGCTAAGTTTGTTAAGGAATTTATTCCCCGGACAAAATGACTATGATCTGTTGACACGTGCACTGATTAAAATTGAATGTGTTGCATAATAAAAACCGAGCTCTGTTTCATAGAAACATTGTAAATGGGAGTTGATGGAAATTACTCTAGTCATGTAACTTCTGTCTATTAATAAGGTCACGATCTTCAATTAAAATCAAATTTAAAACTTCCCCTATGAATTTTATTTTTCATTATCAGATTCTCCGTTTACCCAATACTTAGAATTCTTACTTTAATACAGTGATTGTTTAAGGTTTTTATAATGCTATTCTTTATTTATCACCAAAGTCAGACTTTTATCAGTAAACATTTAAGTTATATTTCTAATCTATTTTTGCTTAATATCAATGTCTTATTAACTATTTATAACAAGGTCATTCTGCTAGTAACACTATCTTAGGTTAAGCTAATCAGAAAGACAGCCTGTTTGGAACTGTGTTGCCACACGTAGTCGATATGGAAATCGGTAGTGCAGTATATAGCAGGTATGGAAATATTGAGGTTTATTGATAGGTACTTGTTGAACAAGAAATAGCCTGTGACATGAATTCAAAAGATGGAAAAATTAGCAGTTCATCTAATATGAAATAAATTCCCCTCTGTCACAGAAGACCCATTATGTTCTGGTTTGCTATGATGCTGATTATTATTTCTGTTTAGTTTCGGACCTTTGTGTATTTAAGCTCCAAAGATTTTTGTGTGTTTGGTTCTCTAAACGCATGCTTGATCTGCCCAGAATCGGTAAGAGCAATAAAGTATTCAAAAATCAAACAATCTCGTTTGGTGTGTTGCCTTGGTTACTATTTATTTATTTACTGAAATACGTACAACTTTTTTAACAAATGAGACAAAACCATATCCTTTGGATTTCAGTGTCTGTGGATCTTTTATTATTTTACAATCTCTGAAAAATACAAGAAATAGAAAGTTCATTAACTTGAGAAACATCTTAATTTACATCTTATTGAAGAGTAAGATTTTCATCAACAAACAGGACTTGAATTAACATTCTTTACAATGGATTTCACATTTACTTAAGGAAAAAAATGTTCATTGAAATGAATTGATGAAAGTATTAAAAGTCAGTGAATAATGCTTCAAGTATAGATGAGGCAGCTAATAATATAATACTATAAATATTCTAAGGTAACAGAATTATACAGCAATGTACATTTGGTTCTTACATTCTTGACAATATTATTTATTTATTTCATTCTATAATGGGATGGAGAAAAATCAACAAATTAAAGCTATATGTCTTATTTTTTTGTTAAGACAAGTGTAAGATTCTGAACAATTTGAAATGTGCCATGTGACATTTCCACACCTTGATTGGTGTAGAGCACAACATAAAACTTGTAATTCAGTAAACTCGCTAATTTGTGAGACACAGCTTTTAAGAACTGGTGATTTTAAAGATATTGTGAACATAATCTGACAGAAAGAAACAAATCCTATAGTTTTTATTCTTATATATGGTCCTAGGAGACATTTTACAGAGCAAAGGTAAGGGAGAAATGATAGAGATACTGTTGTGTATAATCTAATGAGAATGAGATCATGTAAATAAGATTATATCCTGATTTATACTAGACATTAAAGAAGAGGAGCAACATTTTGTCATGTGCAAGCTCGGCAGAAGATATGTACCCTCGCCAAGACATATAGTTCTAACTAAAATCCAACCATTCTTTGATATTACTCCTAAATGATGAGAACATGACAGAGATCAAATTTTCTATTTTAGTGTGACCAAATAGTGGATCTCCTGCACTCAAGTCTATGAAGACCGTTATACCCCTCATCTCATTATGTTCATAAGAATTAAAATACTGGGGATTAGTTTTAGCAATCAGTCCCATTCAATATCAGCTCTGATGTAGGATGGATGATTGTAAATTATGGGGAAAACAAAATTAGAAAAAAAAACCCAAAAATTCAAATGATAGAAAGTTTTCAAAATACTTCCAAACATAGACAAACTTGTCACAACATGACATGACTGTTCATTGGTTGCACAATATTTTGTGGAGACAATCTGAAAGTGACACTACAGGGTCGACTGATCCTTAATGGCATACAATTAAGTGGAAACAATCTATTTTTTTCACTTTTGAACATTGAGATGTACTACTTCTCTTTATCTAGAACCTAATAACAGACTTTAACATATATTCATTGTGTCTAGAAGTAAATGACTACCAACATATGTCTTTTCTATTGACTTGTTAAGTACATTGACAGTTTAACTTTACCATTGTTTCATTAAGAACTTGATACAAATGACTTTTCAGGCAGCGATACAGGCCATTACTATTGCACTACAATAATATCAAATTCCGATGGAATTGAACATGCAATCAAAGTTATCGCTTATGACTCCTCGGATGCTAATATGTTTCAATTTTATCATTTCAATTATAGACCTAAGCGTATAATCGCAGTAAATTACCCAGGTCTTGGGTGGCAGACCCCCGCTTTAATGGTTATAGCTATTGATTTTCCCCCAGAATCCTCTAGTTTAAATCACAAAATCAAGTTTCCTGTAACATGACACAACCACTCATCATTCGGCTCACGATAAAACATTTATACGCCTGAGATTAATCACCAGCATCTCCTCGCCAGGACATTTATTTCAGTGTCAGCTGCTACTGTTAGTATGAATCTAATACATCACATCTTAAACTAGTTTCAGATTGCAATTTGAAAAACAATTGTGCTTCAGGCTATTAAAATCATCTGCTTTACTTGTACCCCTTCAGCCAATTCGATACATTTTCCGTGTCAACACAAATAAGATTTTTAGGTGAAATGATGACTACCATCAGGAAATATTTGGTAAAAAATCTTTACTCTAATTCAACTAATCTATAAGAGCTTGTTTATTGACTAATTTAAGTGATATTAATTCTCTGGGTTTAAGATTTGTCACGTAATTAAGAACCCTAGAGGGATACTTCTATTTCTAATCTAATTTCTCTATAATTTCCAGTCGTTTTCAGGAGTTTTATTTTCTATTGCAAAACTTCTAATCAGGTATTAATGACAAGATATAAATCAAGGAAAACCAGCTCTCAAGAACAAAGACGTTATATATAACTGGGAAATTCTTTGTTTGTCAACATAACTGCCACATTGAAAATAAATAATGTTTAAAATACAATAAAAATGGTATGCCTTCATATAAACAAATCAATGCTGTGCTAATAAACTATATGCACTCAATAAAAACTTACAAGAAAATAATTGTTATGCCTTTAACAGCAATAAACTTAAAATTTACCACTTTTGGTTGACTGGAGTTAATTCTATTGGGCATTATTCTATGGTATATTAAAATTGATCACTTTTGGTTGACTGGAGTTAATTCTATTGGGCATTATTCTATGGTATATTATGCATTTTAGAATGAAGATGAACTCATTACAATTAATTCACAATTATATAACGGTCTTTCTTGAGATACCAGCACAATACAACACACTGTATACTGCTTAGCTTTTTTTGTCAGAAACCTGCAAACTCTCAGCAGCTAGAGAAAAACTTTGCCTGTTTCGTTTAGACTTAGCTTCTTTGACCTTTTTCAGGACGTTTTGTTGCACTATTACCTGAAGATATATTATTTATAAATTGCAACATGCAATAAAATTGGACTTAAATTGCGTTAAACTATTCAAATATTTCTGTTATGATACAACGCACTAGTCAATTAAAATAAACAACATACTATCAAACTGTACACTTGCTCCCTTACCAACTGTAGAGGCCAGAAATTGTTACTTGGTACACTCTAACACCACACCAACTTCATGTTTGAATACATGATTTTAAGAAGGCAATAAAAACATTGCACAACTAAGTATTGAGTCTTTCCAGGGTTAAATATAATGCATCACTTAGAAATGAGCATGTTCTTATTATTGCTTTGATTATTTAATCAATTTTAATTGAATTTTTTACTTTACAAATCTATTAGAATGCGATCTGATATATTCTGAATTCAAATTTTTAAAAGAAAAGTTGCACAAGAAATGTTTTAAAAGTAGCTATCAATTATAGCAGTGATGTATACATTGTACTTTAATTTTTCACAAAATGAGAAGAAAATATTGAGAGATATTTCTCAGCTAGTGAAGACTTGAGATGGTCAACCTTGCTGCCTCAAAGAAAGTCCTTATTTAGGTGTGAGAAATAGAGCTTCTAAAAAACAACTATAAGGCTAACTTACTAAAAAAGGAAGACTTCTAGTTTTAAAATATAACCTGAGATGAGGAATTATTTTAACAAGAAACATAACATTATCTGGTACTAAATAATTTTTCCAAAAAATTTTAATATTCCATAATTGACAAAAGGCTTAGATTGTAGACCCAAAAACAACAAAATAAAACAAAGTCTGAAAATTTTATAAAAAAAAATAAATAAGCCCTTTTATTATCAATCTTGATATGGCAGAGGAGGAAGTGAATAAACCAGATATATATTTCATGTACCAAACAACAATCCATGCCTGCTCTACAGATTACAGGAGAAATGTAAAACTACTGCATCGCTCATCCAAGCACAACAAGGATAAAAGGGAGATAACTACTACTGAAATATAAAATATCCAATAAGATTTTCCCAAAATTTTATATAAAGACTATAATTTTAAATAGTAAAGGGATGAAATTTGAATATCCAATACTTTAAGCATATATAAAATATAAAAAGTAAAAAAAGTTATGAAAATATAGTGAATAAAAAGTTACTAAATTTTCCTGAATTCTGAATATGCATACAGTAAAGAGAGAATTATAAATAAAAAACAAAAATAAAAAAGTAATAGAAAGAAAAAGGCATACATGGCCTGCATTCTGGCTTTTGCTAGCTGATGGCATCTCTTTTCATCTGTAGAAAGATTAATTGGAAGTTTAATAAAACTAAAAGTAAAACATCATCTTAATGTATAAAGATATTCACTTTCAACCCAAAACTAGTGGATAAACAAACTCAAATACTTATCATATGTAAGTTATCATATGTAAGTTATCATATGTAAGTTATCATATGTAAGGATTATGTTCACTAGTATATAAAAGTCAACTTTCTCAAAGGGATAATGTTTATCAACTGGGAAATAACATCAACTAACTTGTACATATGCTGGGAAATCATCTGGCTTGTACATATGCTGGGAAATCATCAACTGACTTGTACATATGCTGGGAATAACATCAACTAATATGTACATATGCTGGGAAATAATATAAAGAGACTTGTTCAAATAATCATATACTGGGAAATGAAATCCACTGACTTGTACATATGCTGGGAAGAGCATCAAATCACTCGTACATATGAAGTTAAATGACATCAGCTGTTTTTTTTATTATACTGGGAATAGCATTGACTCAATTATAAATATGCAAGTAAATGACATCACCTGACTTGTACATATGCTGGGAATAGCATCAACTTACTTATACATATGCAGGTAAATGACATCAACTGACGTACATATTCTGGGAATAGCATCAACTTACTTATACATATGCAGGTAAATGACATCAACTGACTTGTACATATTCTGGGAATAGCATCAACTCTCTTATACATATGCAGGTAAATGACATCAACTGACTTGTACATATTCTGGGAATAGCATCAACTCACTTATACATATGCAGGTAAATTACATCAACTGACTTGTACATATGCTGGGAATAGCATCAACTCACTTATACATATGCAAGTAAATGACATCAAGACTTGTACATATTCTGGGAATATCATCAACTCACTTATACATATGCAGGTAAATGACATCAACTGACTTGTACATATTCTTGGAATAGCATAAACTCTCTTATACAAATGCAGGTAAATGACATCAACTGACTTGTAAATATTCTGGGAATA